CAAATATAAGTGACCTAAAGAAATGAAAATATAAATACTAAGTACATCATAAATTACTGAATTCTGTGATGTCTTTATCTGCTTCAAAAATAGACTATGGAAACTGGATAAAGAAAATGTAGTATTTTTATAAAATGCAGTACTACTCAGCCATAAAGAACAACAAACTAGAGACATTTATAGCTAAATGGATGTCTACTGAGGCCATACTCTTAAGTGAAATAAATAGGACACACAAGTGTAAATACTGAATAGTTTCTCTGGTGTGAAACACTGAAAGTGTAAATAAGGATTAAAATGATTAAAACAAATAATTGATAATTTGAAATAAGAAGAAAAGGTCCAAAGGGATAGGGGAAGTAGGAGGGGAAGGGGAAAGGAAACAAGGGAAAGGAAAAATTATGAGAAAAGGAAAAAAATGGAAACAAAGTCTTTGTAAATAGGGAAGGGTGGAGGGGGTGAAGGGAGGGCAGGGAATGGGGAAAAATAAGAACCAAGATACATCATGTACAGGTACAAGTATCCAATGATAAATGTAAATGTATCGTATACCTAACATGTACCAATAAAAGAATTTAAGGAAATAAAATAACACACAGTGGTCACTCTCCAAGGAGCCATAACTACCTCAATATCAGGAAATGAGAAGACTTAGAAACTAATTAAGCTGGCCTTTCTCAGTCTTAGCTATATTTCCTAAAGGAGTCTCTTTCTTTTTTTTTTTTTTTCCTTTTTTTTGGTACTGGGGATCGAACTCGGGTCCTTGTGCTTGCGAGGTAGGCAGCAGAACCACTGAGCTAAATCCCCGGCCCATGGAATCTCTTTCTTTTTGAGTACACAATTGAAAAAGAACAACAACCTAAGATTAATGTTTTTCATATTGTGATATTGCACAGATTGTGAGGAGCCCATCCAAACAAGCAAGAATCATTTCAAATGCAATGAAAATGGAAGCGAAAGCACAAAAGTTTGAACTGTTCTCCAAGGTACTTGGGCTAAAACTTTGTCATCAGTAACTCTTTTATTCCCTCTTAGGCCTCCACTCTGTTAGCACACATATATTCAATTATTAACTCATGTGGGAAAGCAAAAAGAGGTTAACTGTGACACTGAGACTCAAGCTTCATCAACCCTCTATAAGTCCCTCCCTCTCAGCCATCAGTATAAAAATCAAATTTCTAGCATCCATTCTGGGACTGTGGTTCCCACCAGTGTCTCTACTCCAAATTAATGGGTCCAGGGAACATCTTTAGCAACAGCGTTCTTAAAGTTCCCAAATATTCTACTGTGCGGGCCAAGAAGGGAACCACCGCCAGAAAAGAATGACTCATCTTTCCATTCTCTCCATGCAAAATGATATTACAAAATCATCATCATATGAAGAACAGATCAAAAAGCATTCTGCCAAAAACTGTACGAAAGAAACAAGAGTGTACAATATATCAGGCATTTAATTCAAACAATTTCTAAAATAATAATAATTCTGTTATTTTCTGAATGTTGTAATGTTTATGGTATGTTTGTTATGTAAATGACACTTTTGGCTTTTAGATTAAATCATGTGTTACGAAAAAAAAAAATAGGCTGTATCTCTCCTACCATATTGGAAAAATTTGTCAGATTGAACTTCCTGCTTGGAAACAGGAGGAGACACAGGAAATACAAATCACTATTAGAATGAATGGGGAATAGCTAGGATTTTTCTTTTAAAGTTATTACAAGTAAATTCCACATTCAAAATAAAATAAGGGCAGTTAAAGATTCCAATTTCTCATTTCTCATGAAGACTTCATACATCGAAATCTGTGTTAACACAAGATTACGCATCTCTGATTCTAAAGTTATTCTGCATTATATTTTCTTTCTTCCTCTCTTCCCTCCTTTCCTCCCACCCTTTCCTTCTTTCTGTAGTTTGGTAAATGCATTTTACCAGTAAATCCTACAAAACAAATCAACTGCTCCTGTCAACTATTGTTTTGTAAAAATGTAATCAGGAGATTAGATTAAATGATCTAAATGTTCACTATATTCCTTTGGTATTTTGATCTTACCAGTTTTTCTTGAAAGTTCTCTCTAAAATAAAGATGTTACAGATTTTTTTTTTTTTTTTTTTTTTGCAAAGAAGGAAGTATGTGAAGCACTTAGATGGTTTGGCATAGAATAGATATTCAAAAATGGTTTGCCTTTCTAGATTTTGAAAAGTAAATCACCATCAAATAAAATAATTAAACTCTGATTAGACCTCTATTTTGCAGGTCACTGAGTATTTTTCATTTGCAACACCAATATATTTTTGGAGGGCTTCCACAGTAAGAGTGGGGACAGGGAAGATGGTTTTATTTAGAAACACATGAACTTAACCCAAAGAAAACACTTCTAAAGTTTTCTAATCTCATAGACTCCTACTGAAACAGAGTAAGTTTCCAACAACAAATAATCTGCTTCTTTAAAATTTCAAGCAATATAAAGGGAAAATAGTATCAATGACCCCAAGTGTAAAGACAGTCATTGTGGGAAAGTCAAAAGACTGTTTTAACCTCAAAGATAAAAAGATATTCAAGGCAGAGAGACCACTCTCTTCAAGTCTGTTTCTGGAATGTGGATACCAAGCACACTAGTGCACTCCTTCCCCAGGACATCCTGACTGCACACAATAGCCACGGACAACAATTGAACTAGGTGGCTATTTCCAAGCATGGAAATTTTATTATCGATAGACACAAATTTCCCTAAGTAATGTTAAATGGCACTTGTAAACAATTTATTTAAAAACAAATCTGGTTATTAAGCACATTTTTTAAAAGTCACAACAGATGCTACGCATGTTTCCCATTTAGAATCATCTACAGTAAATGTTTTTTCCAGTATTCTAAGTAAAGAAAAAGAAAACCACACACACAGGATAAATCTATATCCTGGGGGGGTTAAGTACATGAACTATTTTATTGGTTAGGTTTTTATTTTCTCTTCCTGCCTCATTTCTTCTATTTGCCCTTGGCTCTCTCCAAGTAAGAGTATGGCCACCAATTGTTATGCTTTATGTTTACTAATGCCCCCCTAAAGCCTCACACACTCATGGGTGGGGCTTTGGAAAGGTGATGGATAGTGGGGGCATGACAAGCATCAGTGGATTAGTCCATTGATGAGTTTGTAGCTAATTGTGATTTGGGAGGTGAACCCTGGTTCAAAGAGGTAGATCGCTGGGGGCTTGGCCTGGGAAGGTCTATCTCCTTCCTTCTCCCTTGATCCCTCTCTCTGCTTCCGGCTGCCACCAAGCCCCTCTGTTAATGTTACTCTGAGTTGGAGCCAGTGACCACAGACTGAAACCTCTACAAACTGTGAGCCAAAATAAACCTCTCCTTATTTAATTTGTGGGTGTTGGGTATTGTATCTCAGTGATGAGAAAATAATTAAGATACCAATCTTACCATGTTCTTCATATTGAGAGTTTTTGATCAGGGGCCTATATGGCAGTCCTAATCCTGCCACTACTCCAGCTCAGATAATGCCTTCATTTGACTTTTGAAACTCAGGATAGGTAACCTGTCTCCCCAAAGAAATCTTTCTTTTCTTCAATTAACCTTGGATGGGTTGCTTATTGTGTTTCCTTGGAGCCTGTGTATACCTTTATCACAGAATTGATGACTGGCTGTGACTTTGTCTTTCTTTGACTCCACTACCTCACTGTTACCCACAGGTCATTTTTATGGTTCCACTATTCAAATCCATATTGCCATATCAGTGGCATTTTACACTGATGATCATTTCTTAAAACCCTTCACTTTTAAAATTCTGTAACATTTTTCTTCAGATCATCTCCCTACCTACTAAATATTTCTCCAGTTTGTCTATCTTCTCTCTGCCTCTAGATTTCATATCAGTCTTCTATCTACCCTGCAAACTCTGAATTAATGTCATCCTCTTCCATTACCACCTATATATCAATAATCCACAAACCTACATCTTCAAATTCAAATTTCTGGGTAAGCGAAAAGCTCCTAGTAAAGATGAACAAAACAAAGAAGGAATGTCTATTCTAGAGGAAGGTGCTTGGGCTTGCAAAAGGCTAGACATTAATTTGGAACAAATGGAACCAGAGGAAACAGGAGTGCAAAGGAGAAGAATACAGGGACTGCTGTGAGAACTCTGAGTGCCCAGCTCTGCCTGGAGTGTGACTGGTATGGCCTCACAAGTCTTGGTCTATCCACCATATGTTTATCAAACTCAGTCAAGTGCCCTTTATAGTGTGAAGAAACTCAAATTTCTCTATAATCCCTAATGTTCATCCTGTTTTATATTTTGTCAAATTGACATCTATCCTTTCTATACAACAACCAACATTACACTAGTACTACACCCGTTTCTGGCCTTAGATCAAGACTTCAGCCCTTAACAAGACCATTATTTCTAATCACCTCCCAACTGATCTAAATACTCTCTTCATTCTTAATCCTTATTATATATTGAACCTCAGCATAATAATTTTAATAATTTTAAATGGCAAGTCATTTCAGAGGATAATGTCTCAATTCTTGATTAAGTACATATATTTTTTCACATACATAACTTATTGATAATTGTAATTTCATTTTCAGATATTAAATATTTTTCTCCATTTGGTTGTACAAATTGGAGTTACTACAAATGGCTATTTTCCAACACCACTTACCATCACATAAAAAGGACTCCGGTACAATAATAAACTCCCTCAAAAGAGTATGAATTTGTTCATAAAACTAAAATTTTAACATCACTTGTTTGGTTTAAGTATTTTTACAGTGTTTGTAGCCAAATAAAAGTTTAATTTTTAAGCTTTACTTGTGACTTAGTGGGAATATTTAAATATCAAAGTATATATATATATAATATACATAACTCTTTGTTGATCCACACTATATAAATGCCATGAGAGGACATGGCAATAGAGTCACTATGGACCAAAATGAACCACTTGGATCTTTTCTGCCCACAGCAACCTACTTTTCGTATGTCTTCCTTACCTTTCACTTTTGCAGTAAGTACTTCTGCAGCATTTTGTAGATCAACAGAATTGAGGTTCTGATGCTTATTCATTACAGACTTTAAAACATGGAGAAGTTCCTCTAGACGTATAGGAACGATTTCTTTAAAACAATCTTTAAAAGGAAAAAAAATTTAAAATGTGTTTCTAAAGAAAAATTCTGGAAATCTAAGCTACAAAAGATGTGAAGCACATTTCAAAAAGAAACACTGGTTCCACAATTTTTGCCTACTACACATTCAATTCTATTTTTACTACTGTAATTATATATACAATTGATATTGCCCTCAGAAAAATCCTTAGTCGTTTTAATTCATTAAGGATTTCAAAGTCTCTTTCAAGCGTGCTCAATTTATCGTAGCACTACCTTTTTCATTTTTATCCAGATTTCCTGTAAGGAAACTATATCAGGTGTTTTCTGTCTTATTACTATCACATACTAACACATTCCTGCCTGCTTGAACCAACATTGGGTGGCTTGTACCACTGGTGGCGTAAAGTGAGTTACTGGCTTCCAATAATTGATAAGGCAAAGAATCAATTCTGATGTGGAAAATTAGCATGCATTTTTTAAAGTATTGCTCAATATTATTAGACTTTTTAGGGCTTTTAGCTTTGTTACCATACATTAACATGCTCACCCCGGTTAGGGGGACATAATTTGAATGTCTCATTGCTGGGCTGCTTGAGCCATCTATGGTACATACATAACTTCCCATGCATGACTATCCCACTTTATGCCATTTTTTCCAGAAATGTTGAGAAAAAACTACAGAATAAAAAAACATGAAATATTCCACCATTATCCATTACATACATTCCATTAATTCACAGCCCTATTAAGAGACATGATGCACACCCCTGTAAGCCCAGCTCTCTGGGAGGCTGAGGCAGGATCTCAAGTTTGAGCCCAGCCTGGGCAACTTACTGAGACTCTGTCTCAAAATGAAAAACAAAAAGGGCTGGGGATGTAGCTCAGTGAGAAGGCCCTGGGTTCAATCTGCAGAGCAGAAAGAGAGGGGGAGGGGAGAGGGGGAGGGAGGAGAGGGAGAGGGACAGTGCTTTGTAGGATGAGAGGAACAAGGTGGTGTGGGTATATCAAAGAGTATTTCAGGGAAAAGCAACAAACAAAAGTAGTCCAGGTAGTCCTGGAAGGAAGAGAGAACACAGCATGTTCTTGGAGAAAATCTGACTCATTCATAAAACAAATTTTATTGACAGAAAAACACAGAATAGGTGTTAACCTATGTAACTTTGGAAATGAGTAGCCTCGAAGATGAGGCAAAGGAAATACACGAGTATTGAACTCTAGTTGATAAAATGTTTTTCCAATAGAAATCTAGGTTAACAATTCTGACACTGCTATACATGTATACTGGAATTGAGTAAATAAACAGATGGCAGTTGATGGGAGTTAGGTACCTCACTGTTGGGAGTGGAAATTAGAAATAAACAGGGAGAGGAGACTATAATAGCCAATACAGTGATAAAGCTGGACATTTCATTAAGAATTGACTTTAGCAGGCCAGGGATTTAGTTCAGTGGTGCTGCCGCTTGCCTTGCAAGCACAAGGTCCTGAGTTCGATCCCCGGTACCCCCTCCAAAAAAAGAATTGGGTTTAGCTTAATATAGATGGTTACAAATAGAAATATTTATAGAAGGGCCGGGGATTTAGCTCAGTGGTTTCGCCGCCTGCTGCGCAAGCGCAAGGACCCGAGTTCGATCCCCGGTACCAAAATAAAAGAAAAAAAAAAAAAGAAATATTTATAGATATGCGTATATGGACAAACGGATTAGTATATCCAGGTATTTCTTCTTTGCTCTGTAAGCCAATGCTTTAAAATATCTCAGTATTTAACAAGCATACTTAGCACCAAGATCTTGGTTTCTAGTATGCTCCAATGAAAGGAACCAGTTTCTTAAAGAAACAACTGGTTCTAGGACAGTGGTAGAAAATGTACAAGCTGAGACAGAAACATCTTGTAGAATCAGAAAGTAAGAAAGAAGTTTTTTGTTTTTTTTTAAATAGAGTATGTCAAAGGTTAATTAAGAGTATACTGAAAGAGTTCCCACTGGCCAAATCTGGAAAAATTTGAATAACAAATAAATACAGTAATATCAGCTTATAACCTAAAGCATTTATACTGTGGACCCTCAAGTTATGACCGGCCTGATATATGAAGAAGTTGGGTTAATTAGGTTAATGGAAGATTCATCTGCTTCTTGTTATTTATTGCATGTACCCAGGTAAACATCCAGATCTCAGCTGTATTGACTTACAATCAACTTGAGTTACAACTAGCCCTTAGGAACCAATCGAGTTTAAAGTCAAGGGTTCACTGCATTTACTATAAACAACTGAATAAATTTATAACAGAGAAGAAACAAAGCTCTTTATTGCCCTGAAGGAGGTAAAGTATATCACCCTTAAATGTGGGTTATGCATAATGACTTTTCCTCCCAATATGCATAGGAAGACAAAAACAGTAACTTTAAAGTGGAGAAACCTGACAAACAGTACTTAAGACAGTTGATCAAGGTCAACAGCGACACAATACATCACACTGACAGTAAGTACTCTTGATATGATGTGATGACACTGCAATAAGTGTCAGCATAAGTGGTTTACCAACTTAAAAATTCCTTTTTCCTCCAAAGAAGCCCATATAAATCCATAATGAAGTTGTTCCAAATCAACATACTGAAAAATCATAACCAAGTTATTTAATAACATGTAAAAAAGGCTTTAAATTGCACTATAATTCTAATTCCTATGATTTAATACATTTCTGAAGCCTATAAATCAACAGAAATTAACAAAACAACTAAAGAAAATATTAATCACAAAGATTCATAAACTCTCCTATATATATGTATTTTTTTGGTACCAGGGATCGAACTTGGGTCCTTGCACTTGCAAGGCAAGCGACGGAACCACTGAGCTAAATCCCCAGCCCCTCTCCTATATATTTTGGCAAAGGGTCAACTCCTAGGACATCAATATATCCTGATAACACTTAGCCTGGGATTTCATAAATAATAAGCCTTCAACTATTTGTGCCATAAGTGGTAAAACGGAGTTCCATTTTGACTTTGTGTGTGTGTGAGACAGAGAGAGAGAGAGACAGAGAGAGAGAGAGAGAGAGAGAGTGAGAGAGTCTCCCTTTGCATGTATCCTAGGCTGGCCTCAAACCTGAGACAATCTACCTGATTCAGCCTTGGGAGTGCTGGGATTACAAGTGTGTGCCACCACACCCAGGTCTTTAAAAGTAAATAGTCTTTTTCCCTTAAAGTCCTCAAACTAACCTTTATGAAGCAAAAACCTCTTAAACTAAAAATATAACTTTATAAAAAGTTCTAAGGAATTTAAACAGCTCCCTCATTAACACTATTTCTGCTTGATTCCCACAAACAAACAAAACAGTAGCACAATGACTAAAACAAGAAGAGGTAACTAATATTGCCCAATATTGAAGAAAGGAAAGCAGGTGCTTGGTGGGCCAATAGATTTAGATTAAGAAACCTAAGTTCCAATTGTTCATCTGACACTTGCTTGAAATGATCGTAAGAGTATATGAAACTCTTGACTTCTCTAATGTCAGATTCATCATCAGTAAAAGAGAATTGATAAAAATACCTATTCTGCCAACCATATAAGGTGGTTGTGAATACCAAACATATTTAATAAAAGTGAAATTGATTACTGTCTTACACACAATTAATGATTATTACTAGTGAACCTGTAACCTGATCACACTAAAAACCTTTCAGAACAGATTACCTCACACAGAGCTGTATTCAACAGCAAACACAGCCATGGCCCACAATAGTTTGGTTAACAACAAACACTAAAATTTAAATTTCATTTTATATGTAACATCTAAGTAAATTACTTGGAAATAAAATAGTCATTAAGGACATATTTTATTTAAAAATGTTTACAACTATCAAGTTAGAGTATTTAAGTTAGTCCTACAGCTAAATACAAGATAATCTTTAAATGTCACAGTGGCCACTTTGTAAATAAAATGAAGTTTAATTTATACTACAAAGGTTTTATAAATGTGAATATAATAAAGTTCAATCAAAATCGTAACACTAAGTAATCTAGAACAGTAAAATAATATCCCAAAGTTTGCTTATGTACTATCCCTGTAATATTCATTGTTTGACCTATTTGTGCCCTTTACTTTAATTCAGTATGTGAAAATATTATCCAGCTCCACTTTTTGGTTCACATGAATTAACACAATACCACACTGTTTATACCGCAAACATTTCATGGAAATTCTTTCTTTTCTTTTTTTTTTTTTTTTTTGGTACCAGGGATTGAACTCAGGTCCTTGCGCTTGTGCAGCAGGCGGGGAAACCATTGAGCTAAATCCCCGGGCCCCGGAAATTCTTAAATAAATGGAAAAAACATGATGTTCTCCTTGATTTAAAAAAAAACAAACTGGCAGTTTTTAAATGTCTCATTAATACAGCTTAATTTCTAGGGCAGTGGTGGCAAACCTATGGCACTAGTGCCACAGAGGGCTCTATCACTGAAAGCTGAAAAAGGTTCACTCTCACTGCTCTAGGGAAAGCAATGAAAACAAGGCAGAAAAAAGCAACAGACCTTATCACTAGGAAATTTTTTTTCCTTTTTCTGTAATGACTTTTGAACTTCAGGATAAAATTGAGGCCCGATGAACAGCAGCTTTCTTTAGCCACTTGTGGAATGTATGAATGGTAACAGCTGACATTTTAAAACACTCTAGGAGCTTTACTTATTCGATTTCATTTAATCTCCTCCCCCATACTATCTCCTCCTAACAGATGTAGAAATTGAGGCATAAAAAAAATTTGCTTGCCCTGTGTTATAGATATTTAACAAGTAGCAGAATGAGGATTCCACCTCAGACATTCTGGCTGTAAAATCTATGTACTTAACCACTATGATATTTTGCCACATGGATAAAGAGATTACACTTAAATGACAGCTACTCTGCAATATGTTATTTAACAGGCTTTAGCTTCAATGAATATGCCGGTTGCTACCATAAATGGTGTTAAATTATGTAAACCACTCTAGGCAAGCAGAGATGACCTCTACCACCTTAAGAACTGATACAGGTTTAATAAATAAGCTACCTGAATTTTATATACTTTATTCTTCAAAGATTCGTGGCACACCTTTATTCACTAAGCCATAACCTATTAACATTCACATTAACTTTTCCTAAGTGATATCCATTGGAAGTCAGTTCTAAAGAGGTTTACTTCTAGAAGACAGAGCAGGACATATTTGGGGCTAGCAATTTACATGTTTCTAATATCTCACAAAACTTCTGGCACACTGTGAGGTTAAAATTAAGAATTAGCAATGGTAAAATTAACACACACTGAAATTTGTCTGAAAAAAACCCTACATATCTTCCTCTATATTTAACCTGGAAAAAAAAACTGAGTTAATTTATAAGACAGGATAACACTTCAAACAAAACTGCAAATTTATGCAGAACTACTGATAACTTTACAATACCATTAAACTTTTCATTTAACTCCTACTGTTCAATAAAATTTGTGTTAGAAAGTAAATGTACCTTGTCTAACTACAGTTCTGAAAAATCTATGATGTACACTTCATCAGAACCTATCACTTAAGAGATCAGAATTGCTTTTACAAAATAAATGCTCAAATTAGAAGCCATTTTTAAAAATTAGAGAACTTAGCTTGTTTATCTGAAACTGGTGATAAACTTTATCTTCTTTTCTAGCCTATTTAAAAACCACCCCCAACCAGGAAAAACAAAATACCAGTCAGAGTAGTAAATTTTCATTACAATCCATTTTAAAATAGCATTATATATCAAAAAGAAAAAGCTATAAGAAGTATTGGACTGTTGACATTTCCAAGGCTTGAGTTGCAGAAAAATTATAAATATTTTGCACTATTCCTACCAGCATAATTTAAAAGCCTGCACTTTTCAAATTCCAAGCTTTCAATCTTCCTTCAATGATATTGTCTGAGAATGGAGAGGACATATTTAAATTATTGTATAACCAAAAAGAACATTTAGGAATATGTTATTTAGAATTTAGTACACACTATTCCTTGGGGGGGCATAAACTTGAAATAGTACCTAGACACCACATATATTAACCTACAGTGTTATAATTAGACATGAAGCGCATACATGTATCTTCAGTGTTTTAATACAGATGCAAAATTTACCCCTGTAATTATTCTTAATGTACCTTAATGACACAGGATAGAATCCACTCAAACTCCACATTTGTTACTTGTGTACAGTACTTGTATGACTACAGGGTATCCTCACCCTAGACTAGATAAGTTAGTGGAAAGAGAATCATCAAACTCTATCACTGAATGCTGCGCTTTCATAGTCCTCCAATCTCTCACAACTAATTTCTCCATTTTTATTGATAAATTTAAAAATTACAGAAAAAGCACACATATCTTAACCCCGTTGGGGGCACAGAGCTCGTTGACAGACATTGACTTTTTAAATTCAGTTTTGCAACAATGATTGTAATGTGAGCTTCATAGTTCCACTTGGGAAATTTTCATAAGCATCACATTTAAGCTAGCTATCATAAAACTCTCTCTCTCTCTCTCTCTCTCTCTCACATACATACAAACACACACACACAAACACCCCCTAGATTCCTGGGAGGAGGGGAGAAGAGGGGATACTTGTAAGGTACAGTACCTAATGTTAAAAGCAAATACTTGACTGTATTCTTCAGCTCCAAATTATCAATATTCAGAAAAATGTACATTTTCAATCCCAATCAAAATTTGAATCACAAAATCAGTAAAATGGTACAAGTGCCTTGTTAACAAACAACTTACATCATATTCCCAAGTTAGTAACAAAACTAGGACCAGTACCTACATGACACCTAAATAATATGTTTCTCTTTCCAGAGTTTTTTCTGCTACTGTTTACTACCAATTTAACCAAATTGTATTAATTTGGCTAGAAAATGATCTGCTGGCTCAAATCAAAGAAGGAAATAAGTTACACATTCCAAAGCCAACTGAAGGAAGGGGATTTCAAATGAACTCCAATTTCTATATAATATTTACAATTTTGCCTCAATAACAACTTTTGCTAAGTTTCCTTTAAATACTGTAGATACACACACACACACACACACACACACATATGGCTCAAGAATTCATCTTAATATTCCCAATAACGATAAAGAGCAAAAGTCTATACCAGCACTATCCAACAGAAATTTCTGAAATGGTGAAAATTTTGTTTCTTTACTCTATAATGTGGTACCCATTAGCCTAACTGAGCATGTGAAAGATGGCTACTTTAACCGAGAAGCTAAAATTTTAATTCAAGAGCCACATATGTCTAATGGCTACCACACTGGACAGTGCAAATCTAGATAATCCCCAAAGAATACAGAATTTGCTAATAAAATAATGAAAACTGAGAGTGTTTTTACTGAGTGTGTACCATGTTAAGAAGCTGCAATAGCATGGAAAGAATATACCATTTGCTTTAAGAACCTCTTGGCTGCAAATGAGGCCCTTATTTATGGGCAATAAGGCACTAACAAAAATCACACAATCTTAGTTATACATACATCTTAACCGTAAAATGTAGCTACAAGTACCTGCTTTTGTGGGGACTGGGGAATTTAATTTCTTTCTATTCTCAAGTACTTGTAAAATGAAAAGCACCACATACAATTATATAGGTTGAGTATCCCTTATCCAAAATGCTTTGGACTAGATATTGTCTCAGATTTCTGAGTTTTTCAGATTTTGGAATATTTGCATAGCTTTATTTGTCTGGCATCTCTAATCCAAAATTCAAAATCTGAAATCTGAAACTCTTTGAAAATCATTACACTCAAAAGGTTTTTTGGATTTTGAATTTTTGGATAATGAATGCTCAATCTGTGTATTATTTCTGCAACTAGTTTGGAAAAAAGGAAATCATGGTCATATGTCAATCACAAAGTTATTAATCTAAGTTTAGCCTCAACAGTCTGATTAAACACCAGAGGCAAGAGTGAAGTGACTTTTCATATCACTGCCTCACTACAGCTAAAGTATACTGAGATTACAGGTATGTGCCACTACATCCAGCTTATGCTTCTTTAAATAAAGGGCATAAGAAATTTATTACCCAAACCCAGGTATTTAGGATACCTTTCCACAATAAGTTACCTTTACTGCTATTTAAACATGCATAATTAGACTTCAAAATTAAGCTATTAAAATTAGTAGGCATGTGATCAACTTCTATCCTTATGTTTTAATTGTTTTTCAAAATGTATTTCAGAAGTAAACATTTAACTTATCTACAGAGAAATATTTATTGATATCTTACAAATTTCTATGAAGGCCCAGGAGGTCTCATTTAAATAAGCTGGGACTCTTCACTTTCTATATCTAGATATACTATGATGAATATGGAACAAATGGCTACTTAGCATAAAAGAACAGATGCTGTCACTTAACTATTAATTATCACTGACATTAAATTTGGATATTAAAGAGGCACTAAAAGTTGAAAGATTTAGGTACTGAGACCAGGAAAATAAAGTCCTATTTATCCATTTCTACAGAGAATAAACCCTATGATTATTCCTTAATCCAACAAGAGATTCAAATTTATTCAAATGCAGTCATTAAATTGGCAAAATATAGAAAGCTGGATTGAAGCAAAAGTGTCAACAATGTAAGCTATAAACCATAGTGTGCTTATCAAAGACCAGTTGCACTGTGTTATCATTAATGAGAAGGTTAAAATTCCAATGGTCTCAAGCTAGGTCTCAATGGACCTAACTGCTAGAAACCACAGACTGAGTTTAAATTTTTGTACTCTTATCTCCTTCAAGCTTAGCAAAGTTTTTATTATTCATTGCACTATTACTTGATTATAAATGGTTTACACTCTAAACATCAAACATTTGGGGAGAAAAAGTCATAAAATAAAGCAGAATTACCTGTTCTTACTATTGTGTATACACTTATCTGTAGCTAGAGTGGCATTTAAAATTTTACAAACTATTTGGTAAGAACACTAAGAGAAAACAGTTGACAAACCTGAAAGAACAGCTTCTTTCAAAAAGATTAACATTTGGGTGAACTTCCTGATATCATTCACCAATTCCTTGATGTAATCCGGGTCAAAAATGGAATTGGGTCTCACAGACTCGAGCCCCATTTCAGAAGTTGTAACATCAGTAGAGAGCTGGCCTGATGCCCCAACACGTTTTTTCTTTGTCTTTTTCTGTTTGTTAGCAATCATCCTCTCATTTAATAGTCAGAAAAACTGAAATCCTTAAGGGGCAAGAAACAAAAACAAAAACAAAAACAAAAAAAAGGAGAGAAACACAAACACTACATCAGCCAGGGAAACATACTAGGTTTTTACAAAGAGCCCACAGCCCACTTTGGTATTTTATTTTTAGATTTTTAAAAATAAATGCATACACATATACCTACATACACTATACTTCTGATAATAGCAACTTCCATTTATTAAATGTCAGTAATCCTGACAACTCTGACATGCAAATTACCATTCTTTTCATTTCATAAGTGAGAAACCTGAGGTCTATATTTAAAAAATTTGTCACATTCTCAACTGATAAATGATGCACTGGGAGTTAAACCTAGATCTGCCTGGACATCAAAACCCATGCTCTTACTTAATGTCCTCTTAATTCCTATCATATAGAATTTTTTTAATTGTAAAAGTTGTTCTAAAAAACCACCATTAATAATATCTTTAAAAATAAAGGTGAAGAGCAAGCACGGTGGTGCAGGCCTATAACCGCAGCACTCTGAGAGTCTGAGGCAGGAGGAGTAAAGTTGGAATCCAGTCAGGGCAATTTAGCAACTTAGCAAGACTCTATCTTAATAATAATAATAATAATAATAATAAAAAACATCCTGTCGGCACACCTACCTCAGATTATTGTGAGTTAAACAAGACAATAGTATATAGCAATGTCCATTCAGCACATGAAAGAAAATTCAATTACATTTACTTTTCCACTAATCTGACATATCCTGATTGAATAAATAAATGTGTGATTATCCCAGTAACATTTTTGGTATTTCAGGATGGTATAGTAAAAGTAATGCTTTGGTATATGAAAAATTTAGATTTGAAGTCCTAGTTCTAAATAATTTCCAGATGTGTGACCAACACAATTTACTTACAGGCTGTGTGAGGATCAAAAGGATATCAAAATTAAGATTTTTTTACACTTAAAACATCTAATCCTGCTCATCAGAATTTAAGAGGATCTTAGTTTGTTCTTTCTTCATCTTCATTTTACCTTTGCAGAATTAAAAATCCTAACTTTATTTGTATTTCTTGAAATCAAAAGGAAATAATTAGAAGAATCAAATTAGCTCAAGTATTATCATTAAAAGGTTTTTCAGTTTGTTTTGAATATTTAGATACTTTCAAAGTGAGAGAATGACTAAGGAACATCTGTGAAAATCACAGTAGAAAGTTTAATGTAATATCTTCTTCATATGAAAACTATTATTGGATCATTTACTCTTGTACCTTATTCAACTCCAGATTTTTTCTTCTTCCTTATTATAGTTCTCTAATCTATCCACTATTTTGTACTATTCCCACACTAGTTAATTACCATCGCTTACTGTCTAAACTACTGCGCTAATTTCCTAACGATCTCTCCACATCTATTTTGTTCCTTTACAAATGTAGTGAGCAAACTTTCAAACAAAAACCCCATGATGTGATTTCTCGGCTCAAAATAATTCCAAAGGACAAGGGAAACGATGTCAGGCTCTATAAACCTTGAGGTGAGATCTGGCTCCTACCTGGCTCTGTAATGTGTAATCTGGAGTCACACTCCTGCCACACATTCTAACAGTATTTGTTTACTGTAGCCCACAGCATGAGATAACTGTACATCATGACCAAGATATACACTAAGTACGTTTGTGTGTGCTGTAGTTTGTGTGTGCTGTAAGAAGACCCTTAGCCCTTTTTATTTTGAGACAAAGCTGGCTTTGAACTTGCTATTCTCCTACCTCAGCCTCCTGAAGCAGCTGGGATTGTAGGGATGTGCCACTGCCACTGCACCCACTCTTGCTTCATTTATTTTAAAATGCTGGTTCCAACTCATTAAAGTGGTTTTATATATAATGCTATAGTGTTAAAACACTGATTGTTCCACTCAGGATCCTATCTATATGTAATTCTACTTCCCTGGACCATTCATTACTCCTTTGTTTACCCACTCTGAGCTTACTCAGATGAGCTCAATTTCCTCAAAGAAACCTTCCTACATGTACTAGTTCCACTCCTCCATAACTACCACCACCAAACTACAGCAGAATTTCAAAAGGTATTTTGCCTGGGCTGCTCTGAGTAAAGAGGAATTGTCTTAGGGCGCTCATATAATATTGTTAATGTAAATGACAAAACTTTACTCTTAAAATTTTTCATTTTAACATTAAAAGAAAGGGCAAGTGGGCTGAGGGCCACAAGCTGAATGTGCCTGCTGACATCCTACACTTTTCATCGGTGCATATATCATAGTTCAAGTAAATGATTTATGTCTTCTCATCTACACTACAATCTTCAGGAAATCAAGACCATGTCTGTTTGCTAACTATGTGTTTTCTGTTCACTGCACAGTACTTAGGACATGAGATGGAAGAATGAATAATGAATTTTCAGAAAAAATATGAACTTATAAATTTATATTACAATAAATTTTTATAGAAACAAAAAACAGCCTGTTGAAATACTTTGATCATCAAGAAATTAAATAATAACAAATGCTGGTGAAGCTGTGGGGAAAAGGCACCTTTCTGCATTGCTAGTGAAAATGTAAACTAGTACAACTACAGAAATAGCAGTATGGTGATTCCTGAACTAGAAATTCCACTCAACCTAGCTATTCCCCTTCTAGATATCTTCCTGAAAGAATTAAAGACATATTACAGTGATATATGCATATCCATGTTTATAGCAGCACAATTCATAATAGCTAAACTGAAGAAGCAGCCTATATATCCATCAATGGACGAAAGCGTAAAAAGTGCAGTATTTACACACAATGTAGTACTACTATTCTGCCATAAAGAAGGGGCCGTGACTCACTTGTAGGAAAATGGATGCACCTCTACATCATAACATTAAGTGAAATAAATCAGGCACACAAGCTTAAAAATCATATGGTTTTAAAAATCAATAGCTTGTAGCCGGGGATTTAGCTCAGTGGTTCCGCCCCCTGCCCTGCAAGCACAAGGACCGAAGTTCAATCCCCAGTACCAAAAAATAATAATAATAAAAATCAATAGCTTGTAAATTTTTGAAACACTTTTTACAACTTATTTACTAAATTTAAAAGTTATCAGAAATAGAATGATTTTACTAAATAAACTGCAAAAGTGTTAAAGTTTGTTAGGCTAACAGTCTTAGTGATTTATATAAGAGGGCTTTGAGTGTTTTTTATTTATTAGGGGAGGGGGAATCTAAAAAGAATTACAGTCTAATTCTAGCTAGCATTATGATTAATGTGGTAATTTTGTCTTTATCATTTTCACATATTAAACTGAAAAAGGAAACACTGCAGTTAAAATGCTTAGAATAACAAATGTAATGGAAGCTTTCATTGTACTATAACAATGAGAAAGTTTGGAATATATATGCTATCTAAGATCATATGTACCCCTTTTCCATGTGCCAAATAACAAAGTATAGTTAATAAAAGACCGCAACTAGCAATTTAATTAAATTAGATACTAATGCATGGAAAATACTCAGCAGTGTCTATCTTATCATAAAAACTTAACTGTTAGCCATTGCTCCTAGCATTATAACTGGCTCATTGTGGGAAATTGCTTTTGAACATAAGTAATAAACAAGCCCTGGCTTCAATATATCTATAGATTGTGAGCAAAAAATATAAGACTGGAAACAATTCCGGAAACTCAACTGACTTCATGGAAACCTACTGAAAGGCTTCCAAGTGAAGTTGGAACTGTGCAAACAGGTCGTTGAGCCAAATATTTGTGAAACTCTTAATTCTTATAACATCTTCTCCAAATGCAAACCATCGAGATTAAAAATGTTTTATCTATTTATCAAAGAATTCTATAACAAGTAGAAAATCATCACATAAAACTGCTTTATGTATTCTGTATTCTAAGTAATATGTGCATTAGAAACGTGGACACCGGGATGAGGGTGTTAGCTCAGTGGTAGCACGTGCCATGGCCTGGTTTAGGGGAGGAGGAGAAAACAAAATAATGTATATTAACTTCCTAGTCTCCCAGGAAGGTAGTTTTTCCAAGATTTCAGTAGCCTGTGTCATATGTCCCTTGTCCCATGCACATACAACAACCCAAAATGTACATTATAGAAGTATTTTCATTTCAGGGATTGGGCTAACTAAAGTGTAAAACTGCTTCCAAATATCATACTTAATGGTTTCCATCTTACTATTTCTGATTTGGTAAGAAGCGAAAGATCCCAAAAGAAAAAATAAGAAAAGTTAATTCTGAAGGTCTTTAATTATATTTTTAAGTACCACTCCAAACAGAACAGGGATGTCAGAAAGTTTTATCAATAATATGCAAACAATTTCTAAAGGAAGGCGTGCAATACATACACACTTCATTCCTGTGCTGTGCGAATCCAGCACGCTTTAAAAAGAGGAAGCTGCCCAGCCTCCCACGCCTCCAGAATGTCTAGCATTCCTGGCAGGCAGCGCGCTCGCCTCTGGACAGCCAAAAGCACCCAATGCCAAAAAGCACGTTCCCCATCTGGGACTTAAATACAGAGGGAAGAACAGAGCAACCAAAACAGACAGCTGAAGTTGATAGCAACAAGAGATAAAGTCAAGGAAATACACTGAGAAAGGGGAAGGGGCGCTCCGCTTCTTCCCTTTTTCAAGTTAACACCCTGCCACCAGGAAAGGTAGGAGGCAAATTCCCTCTGGAGGAAGAGTTTAAAAAGATAAACATTGAGACACGAGGTTCATCACTTGGACTCCGCCTTGAAACGCCTCACAGTTGCTATCACCCGTTCAGTTAAACTAAATTTTTTTTTTGTTTAGTTAAAACCATTAACTGCCAAGACCAAATTGAGACAAACCACTGAGACCAAGAATCCCTCAAACAAAACACCCGTCCTAAACTCAAGACTGGTACGAAAACCCTAAAACACCGCGATGAAGAGAGCCCAACTGGAGTGAGGACTGCAGTAGGCTGGCGCGAGCGGAGTAGACCCGCAGGCAAAGGCGCGCCAGGCTGAATCCTCACGCAGCCGATCCCCAGGCCGTGTGCTGGGGCAGTTCTTACCTCAGCTTCCCTGCGCGGGAGAAGAGCCGAGTAATCAAGGACCTGTTTTGAGAATTAGAGGTAGAGGCTGGCCAGTCTGTGGTTGGTGGTACCGGCTACCTGTTCGCTCTTGCTGAGATCAACATCTGCTCCTGGCCACCGCTCAAGCCGGTCAGCGTCCAGGGCCCGGCCCTACCCTTTGCTCCGGGCCCCTTGACGGCCGCTCAGGACCGCAACTCTCCAGCGGCCGGCGCGGGCGACCCCAGCCCCAACCCCGCCAGAGTGAGCGCCGCCGCCCCACACTCACCGGGACGCTCCATCCCGCGTCCCAGACGCGAACCCTCAGGGCCGCCGCCGCCGCCGCCGCCTCCTCAGGCTGCACAGCGCGGCCCCCATCCCCCAAGCACAGCTGCGGACGCCCGGCAGAACCGCCGCCGTCCCAGCAGCTCCGGCCACCGCAGCGCCGGCCGCCCCGCCCCCGGCACCGCCCCCTGCCTCCTCGCCCATTGGCCGGGGCTCTCTGGGCAGGGCCGGCTCCCGCAGCAGGTGGGGCGGCGGTGCTCACTCTCCAGCCGGCTCTGGTAGTCGGTGGCGCCCAGGCCTGACTATCTCACTGAGGCGGGGACTGGTCGGTCGCAGCCCGGCAGCGGAGCGACTCAGGCAAAAGTCACCAGATGACTAGATCTGGCGAACAGAGTTCTCGGACAATTCTGAGAACTTCTTTGGACCCTTTTATCCTCCCTCTCCAACCCCAGTGTGGGGAAAACAGGAGGAGGGAGCTCCACCGACACCGCCGGGCCCCGCACCTTCCAGAATAGCCGCCTGAAACCAGCCAACCGCTCTGCCCGCTGGTGAGGGCAGTAATTTCCACTTAGGCCTACCTTACTTCAATGGCACTGTCAAATTCACCTCCGAATGAGAAAAAGACTAATAAGGAAATGACTAAAGAAAGCAGCAGGGATCCTGAGCAAAGGCGCTCCCAAATCACACTACTCACCTGAGCAACCAAAGTCCCTTATTTCAGCGCGGCAACATTCTAAAAGAACTCAGGGCGAATCTTGGGGACTGTGCCAGTGAGTAGGGCTGGGCAGATGAGGGGTGACCACGCCCGGGAGAAACAAAAAGAGACCCAGGAGAGCGTGCAAAGTGGAAAGAAAATCGGGGGGGGGGGGGGTGAAAACCGAAGAAGGCAGAAATAGGGAAATAGGAGGAAGGAAGAAGAGGGAGGGAAGGAGGGGAGAACCTACCTACTTACAAAGACAGAAAAAGGAGGTGAACATGAAAAAGCCCAAAAAAGTAGAGTCATAAAATACTCACAAAGAGAAAATAAGATGAACTCTTCTTAACCCTTTAACCCCTTCAGGAAAAACAGCATTGGGGAAATAAAACAAATATGCCCCATCAGAAAAGATTAAGTATGAGGTTCCTTAGTTACTTTAGTCCCACCCTGGATTCTTCAGACTCACACAAATTTATCCTTCAAATCCTAACACAACAATATCAAGTTTGAACCATAGATACTCAGGAAACCTCAAATCGAAATTTCCTTTTAACTGGACTGAGAAAAATGCACCAAAGGCTCTCACCATGGAAACTGATGGGAGCTGTGAGGAAGTCCCTTAATCTCAAACACCCCCTGAAGTCTATTTTTAAATATATTAATTATTTTGGCTCTTACCTGCCATTCCCCTTAATAAAGAGGATTGTGTTCCTGATTAAAGTGGGATTGGCTATGTTACTGACAATATGAAAACCAAGTAAGTCAGTTTCTGACGGAGAGAAAGGGTGTGGGGGACAAAGGTAGTGGTGAAACAGAAAGGAGACAAAGAAAAATTAAGCGAGACAGATGTGAGAAGAGAGAGGCATGTGAGAAAAAGAAAAAAAAGAGAGGAAAATAAAGTAAACCAAAGAAGACAGGAAAAGATCCAGAGACAAGGGGAAGCAAGGGAACAAAAAAGATGGAGACAGAGATAGAGAAAATAGAAGTAATAAAGATAAAGACAGACCACTCACCGATGAAGAAAAGAGGAAGCTTTCTCATCTACAAGAAGTTCTGGGGGAAATGAAGTCAACTAAGCTGTTGCCTGGAGAAGATAAACCTTGAGGCTCTCCTTGATTACCTGGCTTCAAAATTAATTTTTAGACTTAAATTTTTTAAATGTGTCCATTAAACATAAACTGGAGCAAAATCAAAAGCACTAGTAGGGCCAGGGATTTAGCTTAGTGGTTCCGGCGCCTGCCTTGCAAGCGCAAGGTCCTGAGTTCGATTCCCAGTACCAAAAAAAAAAAAAGCACTAGTAAATGCTGAAGACACTTAACTAAACATTCTTTCAAACATCACAGGAGAATGATACATCATAGACAACTCATAGAACCACTGATGACTCAAAACTGGAGGATACCAATGACGGGAGAGTGAAGGATTCTGAAAGCCAAGGAAGGTGCTGGCAGAGCAACCCCTAGGGAATTCAAGGAACCACAGTTTTCCCATGTATCTGTTCTGGGTTAGTCTCAACACCTTCCACAACAAATCTGCTTCTGAGCCACACTTAGTAAAGAGGAATTGTCTTGGTTCACGTATAAAATATATAATACATTTAATGTATGTAACATTTATTTTTACATTTTTATTATAAATTTTTTAAAATAGAGGGCTAGCATTGCACCGTTCTAAACCATTCCAAACAGCCAATTACTATGCATAGAATCTGACACAGAGTAAATCTTCAATGAATATTAAATAGCTAAATTATAAATATGGTGGTCTAAGGGAAATTTTGATAAATCTCTCAATCTCAATCCTTTTAAATCATCCAGGGGATGAAGATATTTGCAAATATTCACAAAAATGGTAGTTTACTTTTAAATGAAAAGGGTCATTCATTTCCTGATTTGTATCTTAATTTTATGTCACACATAAATTCTTTTTTTTTTGTACCAGAGATCAAACTCAGGAACTTGCACTTGCAAGGCAGGTGCAGTGCCACTGAACTAAATCCCTGGCCCCACACAAATAAATTTTAAGTGTGAAAAGTATTGCTGAAATACCTTTCTACACGTCGAAAGTTCTTGGTTTACAGTGTCCCTCCTTCCAAAAAAGTAAAACCATCACTGTAACTACTTTATAAATATAGCATCTTAAGTTGTTCAAAAAGTTGCAAAAAAGCATGTCTGGAAGCAACCTATAATTGAAAAGAAATTCTATGTTTATCATTTTATATTAATATTGTCTCTAGTATTTTCCTTCTCAAACAAATGCATATTCTCTTTATGTTGTTTTTTGAGTCAGCTATTCTGTTGAGACTCAATTTGTGTAAGTATTCCTAAAGTCTTCATGTGTTCTCGTCAAAACAGTTGTGGCAGCAGACTGAGTAGATAATAATCTTTCTATCTACAATGGGATATCATCTGTACTATTAATTTTGCCAAATAAAAGTCTTTATAATTCTGAAGTTGATTCTATCGTAGCTTAGGTAGCCTAATTTTCACAGCAGAATATGGGTCTAAAAACATTTTTTGGAGATATTTTTGGTGGTTACAATTGAGGAAGGAGGTTCTACTGACATCTAGTGGGTAAAGGACAAGACAGCTGCTGAACAACCTATGTGCACAATATAGAATAGCCTCTTTCCCCAAAAAAGAATTAAAAATAGTTCACAGTGCCAAGATTGAGGCACCCCATTTAAGATACAACTACCACTTGATAAGCTATAGGACAGAGTTACATGCTAAATTATACCACAGGATGCACCTAGCAAAATCTGGACTGTAGGCCATTTTATAGAACAAACAGGATTTCTTCAACAAATAAGTTGCAAGAAAACAGATGGAAAGAAAAATCTTTGGATTAAAAAATCCTCAAAATTCAGAAAAAAATAAGACCAGATTTACCCTTCCACTGCAATAAACAACTAGAAAACTGGAGAAAATACAGACTGTTTTCAGATACTGTACTCTATACACACAACAGCACTGTAATTCCTGAGAGATGGAAATATTAAAATGAGGTAAACCCTACAATCTCCTTAGCTTCCTGCCTACAGGCACATTCTAGACCATGGCACAGGAAGGGGGAAGACAATGTGTGGCACTTTTGCTAAGCTGGAGACAGGGATCACAGCTCCAGGAAACAGGAGGAGCTAGACTCTGTAGGACAGAGTACCAGAGAGAAAAAAGGAAGAAGAAGGGCTCCAGGAATTGCATAGGAAATTTCTTAATTCTTCTGCTGGATACTAACAGGCACATGTATAAGGCAAAACTCCACTAGGATGAGAAATTTCAAGGGGAATTTTACCAAAGGTAAAAAATAACATTTCATAATAATAAATAAGTCATTCCATCATTAAGTCATAATGATGCTAAAAGAATATACAATTAAAAATAGAGGTCCAGGATTTATGGGACAAAATCTGACAGAAATAAACAAATCCTTAATGTTAAGATTTCCACAGTTTTCTTTCAGTAATTGACAGAACAAGTATTATCATATTATTAGGGATATAGAAGACAACACTTCCAACCAATTTGATTTGACAGATATTTACAGAAAATTCTACCCAACAATAGTGGAACACAAATTATTTTCAAAACCATATGAAGTAAATATTCACTAAAAAAGATCATATATGAGGACATAATACAAATTCCAATAAATTTAACAGGACTGAAACCATATAGTACATGTTCTCCGACACAAAATTAAATTTGAAATCAGTAACAGAATAATATTTGTGGAATCACCAAGTATTTGAAAAGTATAAAATATACTTTAAAATAACCCACAGGTCAGATTTCCATAAGGGAAAATTTAAAGTATTTTGAACTCAATGAAAATAAAAGCACATTTAAAAATATGGGGGCTGCACAGTAAAAATTATTGCTAGAGAAATACACAGTTTTAGATACTTTATTTTAAAAAGGAAAATACTAGAGCTGGGGAGGTAGTTCAGTGGCAATGCATTTGCCTAGCATACATGAGGCCCTGGGGTCAAATCCAACAGCCACAATAAATGAGTAAGTAAGTGAATAAGGCTCTAAAATTAATGAGCCAAGCTTCCACTTTAAGAACCTAGACTGGCAAGCAAAAGGTCCTGAGTTCAATTTCTGACACACATGGTGGGATGGGGCTAGAAAACAAAGAACAAATTAAACCCAAAGTAAGTACTGATAAAATCAGAATCAATGATACAGAAAACAGGTAATCGAGAAACATTAAGTAAAACATCAAAAGCTAGTTGTTGGAAAAGTTCAATTAAATTGGTAAATATCTAGCTAGATTGGT